AGTGACAAAAAAAAGCATTAAAAACATTAAAAATTAAACATATTGCCTATGCTGATGGCAGGGAATGTCGGAGATGTTGGGATGGGGTATGGTGCCCAAACGAACCCATTTTCCTGATAACATTTAATGGCCCATAAATTCATAAAACCAGTACATAGCCCTCCAAGTACACCGCGGCCATTGAGTCTTGTGTTTTGGTTGAAACGGTTACGGTTAATGTCGAGACGGTCGTAAAAAAAAGGCAGCAAAAAAATTAGAAACAAAACGAAAAGAAAAGAATGCTGATAAAAGACAACAAAAAGTTATTATTACGGAGCAACAGCAGGGCCATAAAAAACTGCGGTACCTCTATGCAAAGAGAGGAAATGTAAACACAAACTTGACCCATTTGATGGGGGGGGGGGGGGGAGGCATTTGATAAAATCACTTGAGGACAATGTGGAATCTGCTGGGGTCTTATGGCATTTTTGGAGAGGCGGAGAAGGAGCTTTATCAATTTGGATGAGTATTCCAACAACCTTTGCAACCTTAGAATTTGTATTATTTACTTATATATTCAACTGAAACCAGTTTTCACTTGTATTGCATGGATGACGCATCGTTTTTATGACAATAATCTCCTCCCTTTTCCTCACACAGACACACCCCCTCGGGGTACACTTTCTCGATCGGAATCGGAATCGGAATCAGAATCGGATGGGACAAACTACTGCTCTCTGCCCTGCACTGAGGCCCGGCAATTTATGTTTAATTAAGCAATTTCAGCAACGAATCGAAGATAGCATTCGGCCAATTAGCATGCGAGTCGTAGAGAGTCAAAGTGACACGAGCGAGGGTGGGTTGGGGGATGGGCAGGCGGATTGAGTACCAATTTGATTGCAAAACGGAAAACAGAGATTCGTTGCAAGTTGTGGAAATGGAAATGGGAATTGGAGGATAGTTAGATGTTGTGGGTCGCAAATGGATGATGATGTGTGAAGTTGTTTCTCAATCTATTCGGAATCCAAGGCGGAGTCGTCGCATTCTCTAGTGTATGAGTCCCGTCTCTGAGTCAGCAAAACAAACAATGATGCAGCTGACGGCAGGAGGGGCGGAATGGATGTGGGGATTGAGGGTTGCGGACATCTGACACGAGAGATAACAACAAACGCTGAGGGGGTGAGCATATTTCTTATTCTCCCCTCCAAAATAGAGCCACGCACTATTTTCTTTTCTTTGAAATTCAAGAACCGAACCCTCCACAGGCATGAATGATCACAGCTTTATTCGTATTTCCTGGTCAGTGGATATCGAAGTTTTCACTCGAGGGAAATGAAAAAGGGAAAGCGTTTTTGCAATTATGCAAATCAGAGGGCACTTGCATGCTTCGGCCAAGACCAACGAGCTGGAAAATTTTAATTAAATCGAGAAAAGCTAGACTCCAAAAATCACACAAAAAACTACTCCTCTCACTCACTCTCTTACACATTTCCCTGCTACCAAGCCTCATTAAGTTTAACGTCTGCTCTTTCTCCCCATTCCCCCCTGTGTCTTTCATTTCGTTTCGTTTTATCGTGTTGTTGTATTTATTATTAAGGCTCTTTTTTGTTTTTGTTGCTATTCAAATTTAGAAGTAGAATGCACTCCCTCTTCCTCCCCACCCACCAGGCACTGTTGAGCCAAGTGTAAATACAGAAAGGTAGTGGGAGAGCGAGAGAACGAGTGAGAGAGAGGAGGTGGTGGTGATGTGGAGAGTTGCAGGTGCAGTCCCACTAAAGGCAATGAACAGTGGAGTAGAGCAGTGAAGATGTCGTCGCCAGCCACAAGGCATCCTCAGGATAGAACGGGATGTGTGTATAGTATGCGTGTGTGTGTGTATTCCTACAATGCAGGAGGCCGAGAGCGCTCTTTCAGTTCATTTTAATTTAGCATACGCTCAGCCACACTCATACATATTTACATACATACATACATTTGTACATGGGTGTATTCATATTTAATTTATATGTATGCCAGACCATACACACATATTGTGGCTCATAAAATGATAAAGCGATTACCAAACTTTATCGCGATTTATTCAATAAATGGAAATTAAGTCTAATGAATAAGCAATGGGTCGCACGAGGGTCACCCAACCCTAACCAAGGTCCCCTGCCTAGCAAATTTGCCAATACATATGAATAATGTTGAACAAACTTTTTTCAAATGTGGGACAACAAATGCCTTGTTTATCGCGCTGCAATCCTCAATACAGCTGTAGATGTGTTGTTAAAACTTTCAAGACGCCGGGCGGGGCAGAGGCAACAACAAAAAGAGCAAACGAAATACAACAAAAAAAGAACTGCGATAAGACAAGAATACATCAAACGGCTGCTGATAAACAGTTAAATACAGTTACATGCATTGTGAGTGCTTGGGGGGTGCGTTCTAGAAATCGAATTGATGTAAGGGAAGAGCGCACTCAATTCTGAGGCATATCGCATTAGAAACACCCAAATCGCAACTCAATGTCGTCTGCCAACTTAACCAACTTATCTCTCGACCTCTACCCCTCCGCTCTCTTCTCACTGGCCCACTCTTCCAAAAGCGTAGCGTAGAAGGTAACGCTAGATTACATTTTATGAGTACAGTGGGTACCCAGGAATCATGGAACATGGAAAACAAAATTCACATTTAGTTGAAATTAACCGAAAAATTGGTTTAGAAGCTGCTATTAGAATTGCTTTTTTAATTCGAAAATATTCCAAATATCTTCAGATGGTTTTCATTTCTGAGCCACCACTGTACCCGCACCTGACCACGCCCTGCAGCGGAACGGTAACTGTACTGGTGGTAGTGGTGGTGGGTGGCGTTAGTGGTGTGACAGAAGGAGTATTAAGTACGCAAAATGATTTCGACAGTAAATACAAGCGCAAACACACCCAAAAAAAAGGGCAAACAGGCGACATAGGCAGAGGTAAAGGTAGAGGCAAATGCAAACATGTGTAAATAACAAGTGCAAACAAACAATGATGAGTTGGGCTCCGTTCGAGTGTTAACTGATTACGACAGATATCGTGAATTTGAGTGAGTTCTCTGTTCCACTCCACTGTTCCATTCTACTTGTCCCACCACTCAACCGAATTCCTGTAGTCTACCTGTAGCGCTGGATGCCCTGGCCAAACCCCAGCAGGTCATATCTATTGATCATCCCATTGCACCGGCGTAGAAAAGGTCAACAAAGCGAATGTGCCGCGAACTATAAAAAAAATTTACACGTACTCGTACGTAAAACGGGTCGCGATTAGATATTTCATGGTCACTGCCAATGAATAGGCTGGGATTAACAAACACACACACACAGATATGTGTAAAGACAATGGATATGGATGCTTGGGTTGCAGTCGCGTTGCAACTGAGTGCACACAACTGAGGCTGAGGCGGAGACAGGCAGATGATAGAAAACAGGTTTTCGTTTCAAGATCAAATCTCAGAATTCTCTGCTAGTGTTGAATGACTGGCGACGGCGGCGGAACGGGAGGCTGGGAAAACAGGATGAAATTGAAAGAAAAACGAAATTGGTGTGCGGGAGAAACAGGAGAACGCAGTCGACCACATGGCCTGCGAGTGCAAGCGAGAAGGTGCAACAAGTTACCGTACAAAACGCAGCTAGCACAGCGGGAGGCAAGAGAGTGCTCAAAAACAGCTAGTATCAAGAAATGAAGGGAGGTGTGTGTAGAGAGAGATAGAGAGAGAGCACCGCGTGTAGGCGGGTTTCTGGGAAGCCACAGCCAAAAACAACAATCGAAGCAGTTCATAGGCAATCATTTAAGATTGTTTACGCCCGCAGCAGCACTTTGTTTAAACATTATTTTTTGGCGCTATATTCTAGCCAATTTATGGCCATGCTTAGAAGTCTAAACCTTTTAACACTCACCAATGCCGAATGCTTGCTTAGCATTGCAATCGCTCCACACGGCAGTCATCTTGTCGCGCTTTTGTTGTTATTTTCGCCAACTTTTACCACAAACACACTCTCGATCACTATCACGATCACGCTTATGGTTACACGAACAAGGGAGAACACGCACACATGCAGCAACAAATGGACTTTCGTTTGCAGAAAACAGAAAAACAACAAATTAAGCAACACGTAGGTGAATTTCAGTTTCTGGCATTTTCTTCATACCGATAAGTAATTAATAACAAATGGGGACAAAACTAATACACTTATTATTGCACAACGGATTTCGTTTAATTAACGTTAGTGTAGGTCTCTTACTACAGCATTTAGCGCTGTTTTTTTTTTTTCAATTTGTTCTCACTTGGGGAGTTGGCCGCCGCCGCTCAGCTAATAATCTCCGCTTACGCTCACGCTCACGGTCCCGCATTCGCACGCACACACACACGCGAGCTCATGTTGCCTGCCGTTTTGTTCAAAATTAATTAAATTCTGTTTTCTGTCGAGCTCCCGCGCTTGTTGAGTTTTTGGACCAGTGTGACCGCGGAATTATCGATCAAATATACCGTCGGGGCCTCGAAAATATACCGAAATATTCTTTTTCATTTTCAAAATATACCATAAACATATCGATTAGAAACATATTCCTTGATTTTGATATTCGGCTTAATATTACTAAGAAGCTGAGACTCTTAGCACTAGACCCAAAAATTCGTATGTTTGTTTAATACATTTTCCATAGGATTGACTAGCTTTCAAGACTTTCTTTTACTCGATTGTTTATAAAACAAGGTTCAAACTAAAAAGGCCTTGAGGGAAAAGTCTGGCGATGAAAGTTCCTAAAATATCGGTATTTCTGTGCGATAAGTGGAACGAATTTGCCGATAATATGCACCTATTTTGAAATGATTGTTCAATTTCGACGTCAACATATTATGATATAAGTTTATTAATGCATATATATTTTCATAACACGCACCAAAATGACTTATGGTAACTATTTGATGTATTTCGTCGGCGGCGATATTTTCTTTGGCAAAATACACTAGCGCTATTCGCAGCCATCAGTGCCATCACCATCCCATCACCAATTTTCTGACATTGTGAAAAAATCGGCGCGCCATTTCCTCTATTTTTGCGTCGCCCATCAATTTTATGCCAAACAAACGACTTGCAAGTGTTTATTGTTCATAGTTAACGCCGCCGGAGGATCGGCTAACGAGCAACAGACAGAGCAGCACATCGCACAAGTTGTGCAAGTGAAAATTGTGCAGCAAATTGTGAAATCACGCGCGGTCGACGCTGACGACGACGATCCAAGGATCAAAAATCTAGTGCAGTGAAGTGCATGTGTTTGCGCATTGTCTGAGGAGCCAGCGGAGTGAAGAAAGAACTATGTTTGGCGGCTCGAAACCCACGTTTGGAGCCACGCCCACTGCCACCAGCTTTGGCGGGTTTAGCAACACAGCCGCGACCACACCATTCGGTCAGACGGCATTTGGCAAGCCAGCGGCACCAGCGTTTGGCAACACTTCCACCTTTGCCGCCCAACCCGCCCAGCCATCGCTCTTCGGAGCAGCAGCTACGCCTGCCCAGCCAGCTGGTGGCATGTTTGGTGCCAGTACGTCCAGTGCCTTTGGCACCACCGCCGCAGCACCCACAGCATTTGGAGGTTAGAGACGAAGCGTCAGTCTTCCCAGCAGCAACAGCGTAACTAATGCGATATTTTTCCCTCCTTTTTCGCAGCTTTCTCGCAGCCGCAACAGCCAGCGAATATCTTTGGATCGACACAGGCGGCACCCAACACCTCGCTCTTTGTCCAGGCAGCAACGCCGGCATTCGGCGCCGCCAAGCCGGCAACCCTGGGCATGACCGCCTTTGGTCAGACGCCAGCAGCACAGCCTACAACGTCGCTGTTTGGCCAGACAACGGCCGCGACGAGCGCCTCGACATTCGGCAGCTTTGGCCAGGCAGCGCCCACCACAACAAATGTCTTTGGCAGTGGGACAGCATCGGCATTTGCCCAGCCCCAAGCAGCGGCAGTGGGTGGCGGCGTCAATCTGGGCACGGCCTTGGCCAAGTATCAGCCAACGATGGGCACAGACACGCTGATGAAAGGCGGACAGCCGAACAGTGTCAGCACCAAGCAGCACTGCATCACGGCCATGAAGGAGTACGAACTGAAGTCGCTGGAGGAGCTGCGCTTGGAGGATTATCTCAGTTCGCGCAAGGGTCCGCAGGCGGGCAGCACAGCGGGTGCCTTTGGTTTCGGTGGTCAGGCCACGGCTGCTCAGCCCCCAGCCTCAGGACTCTTTGGCAGCACCGTGCAGCCGAGTGCGGGACTCTTTGGCCAGTCGGTGGGGCAGGAGAACAAGAGTCTGTTTGGCACATCGGCTTTCGGACAGCCTGCCACAAGCAGCGCCTTCGGGGCACCCGCCCAGCAGAACAGCTTCCTCCAGAAGCCTTTCGGCGCGACAGCTGGCACACCCTTTGCCCAGCCCCAGGCAGCGGATGCCTCGAATCCTTTTGGCGCCAAGCCGGCATTTGGCCAGGGCGCCAGCATGTTTGGCCAGGCACCCGCCACCAGTGCAGCTCCAGCCTTTGGCCAGGCCAACACAGGATTCGGCTCCTTTAGTACGACGGCAGGACAACAGCCGCAACAGACTTCGCTCTTTGGCAGCACTCCCGCCGCGGATCCCAACAAGTCTGCCTTCGGCCTGGGCACAGCAGCGTCTGCGGCCAATACTGGCTTTGGCTTCGGCAGTCCGGCCACCAGCACGGCGGGTGGAGGCCTGTTTGGGTCCAAGCCGGCCACGAGCTTTGCCGCGCCCGCCTTCGGAGCCACCTCAACGGCCAACACGGGCTTCGGTAACTTTGGGATGACCAACAGCAGCGTCGCCACGGGCGGAGGACTCTTCAATAATGCGGGAGGCATGAACAAGCCAGCAACCACGGGATTTGGTGGCTTTGGAGCCGCCACCGCTGCGCCGCTCAACTTTAATGCCGGCAACACGGGAGGATCGCTCTTCGGGGGTGCAGCAAAGCCCGCAGGAGGCATCTTCGGGGGAGCATCCACACTGGGTGGCCAGACGCAGGGTGGACAAGTGGGCGGCGTCGGAGGAGGACTCTTTGGCGGTGGCACTGGAGCCTTTGGCACTGGCGGTGGCTCGCTCGGTGGCGGCTCGGCATTCGGCAGCCTCGGGGGCAACCCATCGATGACTGGCGGCCTGGGCATGGGTGGCCACCAGCAGATGGGCGTCGGTGGTGGCATGATGCAGCAGAACCATCAGCCCATCCATCAGCAGATCCTGGCGCGTGTGACCTCGCCCTACGGCGACACGCCCATCTTCAAGGATCTGCGGCAAGGCGACGAGGCGGACGCCACACGTGCCACCAACCCTGCCGCACAGCAGGCGGTAATGGACATGAACAACAAGCAGTTCAAGATCAACACCAACTCAAATCCGGCGCCCGTGAAGGTGAAGGCCGCAGGGAGCAAGTCCCTCTTCGAGGGTCTCGAGGAGTTCGACGGCAGCGTCGAGGGCTTCAACATCAAGCCGAATTCCAGGCGTTTGGTGATCAAACCCAAGGACAAGGCTGCCGATATTTCAAACTCCAACTCTTCGTTGAACAGCAGCGGCCCGCACGCGGCTTTGGGACGCTCCCAGCGAGAGTCGTTTAATGGAGCAGTTCCCAATGAACCGACACCGCCAGCAGCAGCGACGACTGTTTTCTCTCCCCAACAGCAGCAGGACACAAGTCGCCGCGAGTCGTGGTTGCATCCCAAGAATCTGGAGATGGTGCGCCAGCGCAACCTACAGACGGGCATGGATCAGCAGCAGTCGCCACACAACAGCACCCTCAACGAGCTGGTGCCGCGCAAACCACTGGAAACCTACCGAACCAGCTCCACGATGCGACAGTCCGTCTCCACCATACCAGAGAATCCGTTCGAGGATCAGTCGCAGACCAGCGCCATTGCCATTGCCAGGCGGGACACCTTCTCGGGCTCGGAGCAGCAGCAGCAGAGTGCCAATGAGAGCGGCCTCTCGAATCGTTCGCACGAAGAGGAGACCACCGCAGGCAATCGCTCTAGACTGGCCATTGAGGCGGCAGCTGGAGCGACTGAGGCGGCGGACTATGAGCCGCATCCCACGGGGATTGTTTTGCGACGCGTTGGCTACTACACGATACCCTCGCTTGATGATCTCAAGTCCTACCTGGCCGAGGATGGCTCCTGTGTGGTGCCAAATTTCACCATTGGACGCGAGGGCTATGGCAATGTGTTCTTTGGCAAGGAAATGGACGTAGCTGGACTTAATCTGGATGAGATTGGTAAGTAAAGGAGCAGCAGCAGGCAGGCGGTCAGCATTTAATCTTTCTTCGATTGCAGTTCACTTTCGTAACAAGGAGATCAACATTTATCCGGATGATGACAACAAGCCGGCCATCAATCAAGGCCTCAATCGTGAGGCACAAGTCACGCTCGATCAGGTGTGGCCCAAGGACAAGACCCAGCATGTGGATATCAAGGATGCGCAGCGTCTCATCGAAATGGATTTTGAGGGCAAGCTGCGCCGTGTCTGCGACAAGAACGATACACGCTTCATCGAGTATCGCCCAGAGACGGGCAGTTGGGTGTTTCGCGTGAAGCACTTCTCCAAGTACGGCCTGAGTGATAGCGACGAGGAGGACAGCAATGACAAAGTGCCCACCGATCCAAAGAAGCAAAAAATGACGGCACTTGAGGCGGCAGCGGCACAGGATAATGCGGGTAAAATGACGCTCAATTCGTTGCGGCATGCCCAGCGCATATCCGAGGATGCGGCACGCTTGCTGGACCCCAAATCTCTAGTCGCGAATGTGGCCAGCAGCAGTTTCCGGCCCATGGACGACTCGCCTGAATTTATGCTGATGGATAAGACACGTGAGTGGCAGAACGAGAAAAGAGAAAACTTGAACTCATGCAATGCCTCTGGCACACACAGAATTCTTTCAGGCTGGCGCTGGCATGGACTTTTCCATGTTTGAGGCGCCCAGACAGCAGCAGCAGCAGACCATTGTCAGCCCCACAGCCAGGCTGGCCAAGGAGTTGGCCGGCAATGAGCCGCACAAAATGCAGCTAATGAAATCCTCGTTGTTTGTCGAAGACGACGATGCCAGCGAGGATGAAGTTAGAGGTAGAAATTCCACTCCCAATCCTGCCTCCATTCGCCATTTAATTCTGTTTTTTGTTTGGGTATTTTTTAGGTACTGTGAATAGCCGCTTCCAGCGCCAACGCAACATGTTCCACGCAGGGCCCAGCGGCTGGGCAGACTTGGGTGGAGCCTCTGAGTCCTCCAGTCCTTACGATTTTGGACGCACATCTGCCGGCCTGCCCGTCTCCTCGTCAGCCTCTGTGGCCAGCCTGCTGCAATCAGATGAGGTAACGAAACAGACTCAAACCCTTCCAAGAGCGTCCACTAATCCAACTCTTTTGCAGACCTCTTCCATGGCCACTGGCAGCAATTTTGGGGACAAGCCAATGTCAGGAGCAATTGTTGCACTCGCCTCCAAGGTGCGTCCGTTTAAGTTTGTGAGCAAACCGAAGGTGGCACCCGTTAAGGTTTTCGGCACCACCGTGCCACTGAACCGCTCGATACTGTATGAGCAGCGCCACAAATGGGTGGCCGATCTGGGCTTCTACAAGGGACGCAGCCTGAAGCTGAGCTTTGGTCCGCACAACACACTGATGGTGCCCCAAACGCTGAACAATGTGCGCAACGCCATAGAAGGTACGAACTGCCCTTTAAATAATTATTCATTGATAGATAATGTACTTTTTTTGTAGATGGCAGCGTGGCACCAGCAGCGCTGGTGTTTATGCCACGTTCGGGCAATGATTTCTCACCCGTTTTGTGGCAATTTTGCAACTTTAATATGGTGCATGCCCATGGCAGTTTCCGCGAGACAATTGTGCCCCATTTGGAGGTGCAGCTGGGCGAGGGCGTTAGCGTGGAGATCGAGGACAGCCAATGCCCCTGGCTGCATGCGGGCAAGGGCACGCAGCTGATTGCCAAACATCTGAGAGAATCCCTCAAGCTGCGCAACCTCGGAGCTCTGGAGGAATACGGTGTGTCCGTGTGGTCTCTGTTGTATGCGCTGTGGGGGCAGCACGAGGAGCTTTCGGGCGATCCGAACGACACAAACAGCCACCACACTGTCATGTGTCGTCGCAATCTGTTCTCTGACTGGCTGGAGAACACCCTCGGGGGCATGGATTTGCTGACCAAGAAGGTCAGCAGCCACAGCTATCTGGACCACATGCTGGATCTTCTCAACTGCCATCGCGTGAGCGAGGCGTGCGATCTGGCCCTCAACTACGACGATGCCAATTTGGCACTGATTCTCGCTCAACTGGGATCCGGTGCGGTCTTCCGCATGCTCATGGAGGAGCAACTGTTTGCCTGGCAGCAGAGTAAATCGGATAAATTTATTCACCTCAACCGCCTGAAGATGTACATGATGGCGGCGGGAGTGAATATGATGCAATCCTCGCAGGGCACCATCAATCTGATGGAGGACAACAGCTGGCTGACGGTGGTGGGCCTGGAGCTGTGGTACTTCAGGGCACCCACCTCTTCCATTACGGACGCCCTAATGGAGTACGATAAGGCCTACCAGTCCGAGGAGTGCTTTGCAGATCCGCCCAGCCCCACCTACAAGGGAGTGTCTGCCGCAGCAGAGAGAAAGAAACCTGTTTACGATCTGCGCTACCATCTGCTGCAGCTGTACTCCAAGCGAATGCATTCCCTGGAGGAGACACTGAATCCCATAACACACACAAACGATCCCATGGACTTTCGTTTAAGGTAAAGACACAGACACACGCTCTTTATTCGAAATGAAACTAATTCCATTCCATAAACTTCAACAGTTGGCTGCTGCTGCAGACCTTGTGGGCTCTGGGCTATCGCCACTGCTCGCCCCTGGCTGATGCACAGCTGACGGTGGACTTTGCCAGCCAGTTGGAGAACGAGGGCCTCTGGCAGTGGGCCGTCTATGTGCTGCTGCATATCGAGAGCAGAGACCGGCGGGAGAGGGCCGTGCAGCAGCTGCTGCTGCGCAACGTGAGCGTCTTGGCCCAGGCGGCGCACAACGAGGAGGAGCGCTTCATTGTGGAGCAGCTGGGTGTTCCTAAGTCGTGGGTGGACTATGCCAAGGCTGTGCGAGCCGGCTCCCTGGGCCAGCGACACTTGCAGGCGAAGCATCTTCTGTCGGCCAAGCACTGGGCGGAGGCTCACGAGATCATCTTTCAGTATATTGCGCCCGATGCCATCATCAATGGTAAGTGCCACAGAACTCCCACCAGGCATACAGTCTAATTTGTTGCGTTTATCAGGTAAAACGGAGTATTTGCACCGTCTGCTCATTCAGTTCGAGGACACCGAAGGCAGCAGCATTCGAGTGCCGAACTGGGCCAATCAGGGTCAGATATTCCTGGACTTTATCGACATCAGTTCCAAGTTCGCGCAGATACAGAATATGCAGAATATTGAGGATATTAAGGCGCGCTGGGAGAACCTGAAGCCGCAGCTGAGCGAGCTCTGTTCGCGCATCAGCCTGTTGCCATGCCCCACGGCCAAGCATCGTCTGTGCCAGACGGAGATCTCGCAGAGCCTCAACTGTCTGGTGCACGGCATGTGCATTGTCAGCCCCCAAATGCAATCCTCCGCCGTACTGAAAGTGGCACTCGAACGATTGCCGATGCCCCAGGAGCTACTTTCGAGAGAGTTGCGCAATCTGCTGGACGAGCTGCTCGAAGATCTCGAAAAGAAGTCGACCTTTCGCGAGCGTGTCAGCGGCATGGAAATCCACTGATCCAATACAAAATAAGATCGCTTATAAGTCTAGATTAAGCCACATCTACCTAAATAAAATAGAACAGTATGACAGAAACTAGATTAAGAATTCGTCAACAGAGTAAGAGAGAAAAAGTGAGCGAGTTTACGATCACACTACAGTTACTATGAATGTCTTTGTTAATTCGATTATATTTCCAATTTCCGCTCGTGTGACTATCTTTGTACAAGACCTTCTAGTAAACAATAAAATTGATTTGATTATTTTTACACACTAAAAACGGGATAAGAGCTTCGCCATTCCTATTCAAGCGTGATAGTAGCTTGTTGAACCTATCGATAGACAAAAGTTAATCGAAAGTGGACACTAGATTAGAAATCCGATACCAGCTCATTCGATCGATAGCCAAAGCTAAACACCGCCGCCTCTGATAAGACGAGCTAAAGTTGTGGGTGTGGCCATTAAACTATTTCCATAAGCAATGGACGACAACCCTAAAGTGCCAGCCCCATGGTGTGGACGGGACTACAAGCCCCGCACTTTTGATAAGCACACGCCGGTCGTGTGCTACGACAAGCCCAGTGCATCCATTGTATCCCAAAAGGAATACGAAGTATGTAGCTACATATACAGAGATACAATCCAAATACGATCTCTGTTGTTGTAGGACAAACGCTTTCTGGCCCTCACCGGCGATGTGGTGGAAACATTGGTGGTGCCCAAGCGGGAGGCTCGCACCTGGACCATGCAGGCTGGCGATCTGTGCCGCATCACTGTGCACGAGGGCGCGCAGGTGGGCGATCTGAATTTCTGGAATCTGGAGAACACACAGGAGCGTTTCTACTCTGGCAAGACGCGACAGCTGCACGCCTCCCACTTGAAGGTGTATGATCGCCTGTGGAGTTGCCTGCCGCACCTGCGCCCCATGGCCACATTTGTGTTCGACTCGCTGGCCGGCTATGGCATCGACGAGGACGGCGCCTCTCTGCATGATGTAATCGGAACACGCTGCGACGATTACACCTACAAGCTGATAACTGGACAAGATCGCGTCGGCAGCTGCCACAGTTCGCTGGTTAAGGCAGTGGTGGAGGAGCGCGGCCTGAGCGAGCAGGATGTACATGACGTATGGAACATATTCATGTGCACTGGCTTCACCAGGGACACGCAGCAGTACTTCTGCAAGCCGAGTCCCGCCCGAAAAGGAGATTTCATCGAGTTTGTGGCGGACATGAATCTGTTGGTGGCGCTGAGTGCCTGCCCCCAGGGTGATGTCTCCATACCGGTGGGTGCCGAGGTACCCGATGGCAAGTGTCACCCTCTGAAGGTAGAGGTGTTCCGTAAAAAGTAGTTGGAAAAGTTTCAGCCACTAGTGTAGGCAAAATATTTAATTTACCTCGTAACATTCGATGAAGTAATACGAAAAATTAAAATAAAAGTTCAGACGGATTGGAACAATCAGCACAAGGAAATATCTGAAGCCGAAGGAGATTATTTTGCTTCAATTTATAATGATGTTTCTGTCAAACCATGGCACTGGGCTCTAGACTGGAGAGCAAACGAGAAGGGACGTGTGAGACGCTTCTTACGCGTCATAACTTTTATACCCGGCACTCAGTACTACATCTGCACCTTAGCGGTGTTTTGTCAAATTTTAAATATTTTCTTCATCTGTCATCTACATCTACAACACTTCTCACACTAACACGCTCCGTTAGCTCGCCGCCCTTCCCTAGACTCTAGCGCCCGCACACAAAAAAAACTAATATAAGCTGCAGGACGGGGTGGGTTAAAAGTCGGCAGAGGCAGAGGCAGGGGCCGAGTGAAGCAGAAGCAGAGTGTGAATGAGAGAATGTGAAAAGAACAACAAAAGCTGCGGGACAGGGTGGGTTTGGCCACTGCAAATTAAATTCTTCATTCTGGCTATAATAATGCTCCAATCGGATCCCAATTTGGTGATCTGATATATAGGGCTATTCCCTACAGAATGGCGTTTTTAGTATTCTTTTATCTTCAAAATTGTAGATAAGGGAGGTTTTCGCTCTTTTGCGGACAGACAGACATGGCTCAACCGACTGGACTATTGATGCTGATCAAGAATATATATACTTTATGGGGTCGGACGTTTTCTTCTGGGTGTTACATACATTCACTTTGTTCACAAATACAATATACCCTATTTACTCTTCGAGTACCGGGTATAAAAACATAAAAGGTCATAAATAGACTGTTGGACTGGGTCTGGCAACGACGCATCGTCGGAAGCAAGTGATTGTTCCGAGAGTAATCGATGACTAGTAGTTCGGTGTGGTTCCAAACGCACTCAGCCCGTTCAAAAATATGAATGTAAAGATATTAATAAATAAGTGGAATATTACCACATTCTACATACATATTGTTTCAATTATAAGAACATTTCCAATGCAACACCTTGCATGCCCTCATCAAATATCGACAGCAACAACGAAAATACCCCTTTCAAGAACATATCGTCGAATAAATACCAAAAAACAATTAAAATAAATAAACAAACGAAGAAACAACAAATTAGATTAACAAAAATGAGCGAGATTAGCGGGGAGGACAACCTGGAGAAGCTGCGTGGCTATATACTTCGTCCGGATATACCCATACCCCAGCCCGATGTGCTGCCACGGCAGATTGATCCGATGCGCCTGTTGCATGCCCCCAAATGCCCGGGCAGCACCAAGCTGGAGCCGCGCCGTAACCTGAGCGGGGAGATACTCGAGTTCGTGGAGGTTGATCTGGAGGATGTGGGGGCTAATGCCAACAATTCGATGTCCATGCAACGTGAGCCTGGCCTGCTGGAGGAGGCGACGCGTGGCTCACACATGAATTATCCCTTCTGGCCAGGCGGCTTTGACGAGCAGCGACAGCAGATTGCCGCCCTGGACGTAGACAGCTTTGATTTTGGGGAGAGCCTGCTAACAGTGCCACCGGGCTTTGCCACAGGGCATGACTTTGCTCAGACGCAGCCAGGGGATGTCGCTTCGCCAATGGCAGCAACGACAATAGATCTGCTGGACAATCTGGAGCAGGATCTGGATGTGCAGGAATGGATGCAGATGACGCGCACCGAGAATGAGCCTGTCAAGAGTCGGCAAGTGGATCTAAAGTTTCCCTCCGGCAGCTTCGAGTACCAGGATGTGGATGATCAGATTATGAAAACGGATCTCAAGCCGGTGCTGAACATTTCCACCACGGCGAAGACCTTCAGCAGTGATTGGGCGGAGATGGTGGACATAAGCCAGCCGATAAGCAACTTCAAGGAGCAGATTCCCTGCCCCGCCATGGATTTCCCCTTCGAGCTGGATGTCTTCCAGAAGCAAGCGATCCTCAAGCTGGAGCAGCGGCAGTATGTCTTCGTTGCGGCCCACACATCCGCCGGCAAGACCGTGGTGGCCGAGTATGCCATTGCGCTGTCCAAGCGGGATCTCACGCGCACCATTTACACGTCCCCGATCAAGGCGCTCTCGAACCAGAAGTATCGCGACTTTCGCAAGACCTTCAAGGATGTGGGCCTGATCACGGGCGATCTGCAGATCGAGCCGACCGCCTCCTGCCTGATCATGACCACCGAAATCCTGCGCTCGATGCTCTACTGCGGCAGCGACATCACCCGCGACCTGGAGTATGTGATCTTCGATGAGGTGCACTACATCAACAACCCGGAGCGCGGTCATGTGTGGGAGGAGGTGATCATCCTCCTGCCCGACCATGTCAACATCATCATGCTGAGCGCCACAGTGCCCAACACCATGGAGCTGGCCGACTGGGTGGGCAGCACCAAGAAGCGCAAGGTCTATGTGATCAGCACACTGAAGCGCCCGGTGCCGCTGCAGCACTTTCTGTACACGGGCGCGGGCGGCAAGAGTCGCGACGACATCTTTCTGCTGGTCGATGCCAATGGGAAGTATCTGCAGGGCAACTACGAGAAGGCCGTGGAGCGCAAGAAGGAGATGCAGGGCAAATCGAAGGGCGGTGCAAGCGCCAGTGGGGCCAATAACTATGTGAATGCCAAGCAGGTGCAGTACACGTGGATTGGGCTGATTGACTTCCTCAAGCGCAACAACAAGATGCCCGTGGTGGCCTTCACCCTGTCGCGCAATCGTTGCGACAGCAATGTGGCCGCCCTCCAGTCGGTGGACCTCAACACGGAGAAGGAGAAGGGCGCCGTGCAGAAGTTCTTTCTGCAGTGTCTGGCCAAGCTGAAGCCACCGGATCGCAGCATTCCCCAGGTGCTGGTGCTCAAGGATGCCCTGGAGCGGGGCATTGGTGTGCATCACAGCGGCATTCTGCCCATCCTCAAGGAGATTGTGGAGATGCTGTTCCAGAATGGCCTCGTCAAGCTGCTCTTTGCCACGGAAACCTTCTCTATGGGCGTCAACATGCCCGCCCGCACGGTGGTCTTTGATTCGCACAAGAAATTCGATGGCCTGGAGGTGCGCAATCTGAAGCCGGGCGAGTACATACAGATGGCTGGACGTGCGGGTCGCCGTGGCCACGATGAGACCGGCACCGTGATTGTGATGTGCAAGGGAAATGTGCCGCCATCGATGGAACTGCGTCCCATGATACTCGGGCTGCCGGAGAAGCTGCAGTCACAGTTCATCCTGCGGTACGCTGTCATTCTCACCTGCCTGCGCATCGAGAGCATCAAGGTGGAGGACATTATGCAGTTCAGCTTCAAGGAGTTCAACCAGAAGCTGCAGCTGCCCACGCAGCAGAAGCAGTTGCGCATTGCCGAGGACAAGTTCGCCATGCTGCCCGCCCTGGGTGAGCATCTGCAGCCGCTGGTTCAGTTCTACGACAAGTCCATACACTACTGGAAGGAGAAGCATCGCGTTATGGTTAGCCCCAAGAGTTAGCTTCTCTCTCTTCTAATGCCAATGTTTGATTCTTGCAGAAATTCATCGTTACCCAGGCCAAAATCCAGAAGGAACTGAAGGTGGGTCGCGTGCTTGTCGTCACGCAGGGCCAGCACTACAACAAGTTGGGCATTCTGCTGAACATCAAGTCCGTGCTGGGCAAGGATACCATGTACAAGGTGCTCGTCTTGGATCATCAGTTCAAGGGCAAGGAGACGGACGGCAATCTCCAGCTCAATCGGGGGGAATTCTACTACAAAATACTCTCGCTGACGCCCAAGAATAAGTTCTTCCAGCCGGAGGGCATTGGCGGTCATGCAGTGCTGGACATCAAGGCCATCGATATTGTGGCCATCACCAAGTCCACGTTCAAGGTGGATGCGGACATTGTGATACGCAACTGGGAGCAGCGGCAGCTGGAGCGCTTCAAGGACACACCACCGGGTGCAACGGTGGTCAAGGCGGTGGCCGATCTGCATCAGCTCAATGAGAATTACATTGCCAATGCGGACAGCATCAAGTACATCAATCTGGCCAAGGAAATCAATGTGAATGCGGACACTGAAGTGGATCTGCTGCAATCTGTCGAGCAGTTGGGGCGCCAAGTGGCGGAGCTGCTGCCACACACCAATATTGCTGGTTTCGAGCAGGAGTTTACCAAGGTCTATGAGCGCCGTATGCTGGAGATTCACATCGAGGAGCTGCGCTTCAAGAACTCGGCCAAAAATCTGTCCCTCTATCAGGACTACTGCAACAAGCTGAAGGTCCTACACGCCCTCAACTACATCGATGAGCAGAACGAGGTGACGCTCAAGGGCAAAGTGGCCTGCGAGATGGGCCAGAACGAGCTGCTCATCACCGAACTGATTCTCTGCAACATGTTCAATGATCTCGAGCCAGCGGGGATCGCTGCCCTGCTGTCGGGTCTGGTGTTTCAGGCCAAGATCCAGGGCGAGCCGTCCATACCGGAGCCCTTGAAGGAGTGCGTGGCTGCCTTCGAGCAGATCAAGGACAAAATTCTAGCCGAGGAGCAGCGTTTCCAGGCGTCCACTGAATCGGAGAGTCGCCTGAACTTTGGCCTGCTCGAGGTGGTCTATGAGTGGGCCAGGAATAAGGTAAGCAGGAGCAGCAGCAGCATCTAAGACTTTATGACTGATTGTTGTTGATTATTCCTGCAGCCCTTTGCCGAGATTATGAAACTGACCGAAGTGCAGGAGGGCATCATTGTGCGCTGCATACAGCAGCTGGATGGGACGCTGCGCGACGTGAAGACAGCAGCGATACGCATTGGAAATCCTGGACTGCAGGCTAAAATGGAGGAGGCATCGGCGGCCATCAAGCGAGACATTGTCTTCACTGCCAGTCTGTATACGGAACTGTAAAGGAGTGGGGCATAGCCCGACAATGATTTCAAATTGAATTTCTTAAAACTATTTATCATGCACGTGTGTCAATTACAATTTCAAATGGGGGAGACTTATAAAAGTGTAAAAATATTAGTTGCAGCAGCGGAACGATGGAACGTCGCGCTGGAGAAGCATTTTCATCGGGACTCTGGCTTGAACTTGGGCGGCACCATCATGCCAGTCATGTGCTTTTGTTTTTTAGTCTTCTTGGATTTGCTGGTGCCCGACTGGAAGTCATGCCAGCTGTTCACGCGACTCTGGCGGGACTCTTCGAAATTTTGCTGCCACTCGCGATCCGATTTGATGCGCTCCTCCTCCTCGATTTCGGTTTCTCGCTTCCGCTTGCGCTCCTCCTGGTCGCGCTGGTCCAGTTTCTGCCGGCGACGTTCCATGTCGGCGAACAGCTTCATAACCATTACGTAAATGGCATGCTTGTACTTTGTGGGATCATCCTCTGGTATGGGCTCCATGGGTCTGCCCTCCTTTTTAAGCTTTTTGCGTTTCTCTGCAATCTGTGGGGAAAGCATAAGAATTAAGAAAATGTGAGAGTGGGTAAATTGGTGTCATGTCAAACCATTTTATCCGTTCGCCCCTTCGCCTCCTCATACACCTCAAGGCACTTTTTTCGCGACAAATCATTTTCCAAGATTTTCCAGGCACGCGATACAATGTCGAATGCAAGTTGGGCACGCTCCTGGTTATCGTGATTCTTGTCCGGATGAACCAGAATGGATAAGGTGCGGTAGCGCTTTTTAATATCGGCCACCTCGACCTCTGGTTCGATTTGGAGCACTTCGAATGGATTAAGATTGAAGTATGTGGAACCTGGACGAAGTAAACGATCAATTTGTTGAGTAGGAGTTAGTACAGAATCGCGTTTTTCAATTTCTTTCACCTGCGAATATAGTCACAAAATCGTTTATTTATGTGTACAATGCAAATAATAATAAATGTGTGTTGCGTTGTGTGTGTGTTGGCTGTTATGGGAGGGCCCCACAACCACAACCTGGTATTGCGCTGGCATTGCCATCCATTAAACTTACTTCGGTGTAGAAGTCCTCGAACGACTCCTTCGACGTGCTCGGCTGCTCTCTGGCTGATGAGGAGGACATTGTGTGTGTGACTTTCTTATCTCCTATATTACTTTTGTTTGATTTCTTTCGGCTTTCCCCTAACAATAAAATTGACTTTTTGTTAAAAACGCACTGTACCAGGACAGTGTTGTCAAATGATTCCAGTGATTTCGTTTCCAGTGCTGTGAACTGACTGTACGATATTCTATCGAATGCTACTGTCCACATGGTGGTTGTTTTCGCGATTACCTGTTGAAAATTGTACACACAATTTTCCATGATTGCTGAGTTAAAGCGCCTAGGATTGTTTGTGGGCGGTAGATTCCTACAAGTAGTACGAGGCAGGCGGGAGTTAACTCAAGGCCGAAAAATGAGCACAACCACAAGTTTAGCCGATGCAGAGGCGGATCTCGTTTGGATGGACCTAGAGATGACCGGCCTTGACATAGCTACGGACAAAATCCTGGAAGTTTCGTGTATCATCACTGACAAGGATCTGAACATAAAGTCCGAGGGACCCTGCTTTGCCATCAGTCACCCAGAGGAGGTGTATAAAAACATGAACAAATGGTGCATTAAGCACCACCACGAGTCCGGCCTGATCGAACGTTGCCGCAGCTCTGATGTAACGCTCGACAAGGCGGTGGATCTGGTGATGTCCTACCTGAAGAAAAATATCCCCGAGCGCAAGTGTCCCCTGGCCGGTAACTCTGTCTATATGGATCGCCTGTTTCTACGCAAATACATGTCACCCGTTGACGAATATTTACATTATCGAACCGTGGATGTTTCCACCATCAAGGAGCTGGCCAAGAGATGGAATCCCGATGTGGCCAAAGCTGCGCCGCGCAAGGCATTTGCACACCGCAGCCTCGAAGACATCATGGAGAGCATACAAGAGTTAAAGTACTACAAGGAGCATTTGTTTAAGTAAAAAATACAATCTATAATATTCAGTGTTAAGTGTAAAAAAAATTAATAACGTTTAATGATTTGTGCGGATGTGCAAGCAAAACCAAAACTCTATTATAAGACATAAAAATACGATTGCAATAAAAAACTCTATTTCCTAGTAGACACCATTTATATTGTTGTGGGCCGCTGAGTAATTGTTTGTGTTATTTTCCTGTCGCCTTCTCGATGATCGGTGATTGCTGGTGGCGCTATCGGTGCCCGTCACCTTCTCCGCCTCAATGCGTCCCGACAGAAAGTTGGCCACACGTTCCTGCAAGGACATTTTGTTAGTCAGTAATGGATGGAGGGTGCGGTGCATCTATCTTACCAGATAACTGTTGGTCAGACCCTGCAGATTGCCATAGAAGGCCAGCGCGCGCTTTAATAGAGATTCAGCCTCCTCCTTGGACAGGCTCTTGACTTTGTCCAGGCGAGATATTGTGATGATGCGATGGTTAATGTACACGATTTGGTGAGCCACTTCTGTGGTGGTGTGTGCCAGGTTTCTGCGGGAGATGAAGCGCACGTTTATTGTGTGGAATCACCAAAGGGGGAGGGAGACAGACACTCACCTGGGTATGTTGGATGCCACAGTGGCACTGAAGTTAACCAAATGCACAACTCTTCTGGCCGATTCCCTGGTGAGCAGCACAATCAACTGCTCCAGGGTGGCTGGTCTCGCCTGATTCTCGGGCTCATCTGCGCTGAGATACGCCCACAGTTCCTTGGCCCTTTGCATGGCCTGTTTGGGATCCGTGGCAATCTGCAGGAGCACGCACAAGATGTCTTAGATATGTGCTGGTTGTTAGCAGCCAGTTTGCGCTTACCAATTCCACCGCATAGATGAGCACATGGATGGCCTCCTTGCTCTGTTTCTTTAGGGCACGGGCCTCGGCAATCGTTCTTTGTGTGAGGCGTCGCTTCAGCTTGCGGGAGAATCGTTGACCGTGATGGATCGCCTTGATGGCACCCTTCTCATTCGCCGCCACATTATCATCCTCTTGCGGCGCTGCAAAGCGGATATATTGAAACATCAAAATATAATTTCAAGTGCCGTTCCCCCATGATTTGTAGATTTGTTTGGTGTAACAACGACTTGAACGAGCGAGCGACCGATCGATCGGCCGGACCCCTGAGCCACCGCTTATCTCGTCTCAAGAGATAACCTCCCAACAACTAGCTGTCCACATCGCAGCGTTGGAATTTAAAAATAAATGATGAGCCGCAGCAGGGCGTGAGATGAGTGCACCTTGTCTCAAGGTTACTCACCGTCTGTCTGATCCTGATCCGTGCTGATGGGCACCAGATATTTGTCCACAAACTTATCGCCGGCTGTGAAGGCTCCATCGATGCGATCCGCCGCATAGGTGGTCAGTGGACTCTCCAGCACAGCGTTGCCAATCTGCTTGACAGAATCGGCACGCTTCAGGACGGGCCGCACCAGATGATCCGACATGTATTCCTTAGTGTTCCAATACATCTTTAAGCACAAGATAATTGCCTTTTTTGTAAGCGAATCAAGCCACATTGGCGGACAGTGGCCAGTCGCCGTGTACTTACCATTTCGGGTGGCAGATAGACCAGCGGAATACGCTGCTCCAGTATGTCCAGGCTCTTGCACATGACATTGTCCAGGCGCTTCAGGGGATGCTCGAAGAGCTTCACAGCTGGCTGCACGGAACCATAGGCGGCCGAAATGGTTGCCTCTGCGGCCTCAAAGTACCAGGAGAACAGACGATTGTTGTTTTTCACTTTGCCATAGATGTTCTCTACACGCTTCACGCTCGACTCAACCAACGGGATCGAGCCAATGCGATCTATGGCCTCCAGGTGGAGCCCACTGCCGATAGTTGCGGTTGCTTTAAAAAGGATTTTGTTGTTATATTTAATTGGATTGGATCACATGATGCACTAACTAACCCATTTTTGTGTATGTGTGTGTTTGTGTGTGTGTAAGGAGAGTCGCTTTGTAAGTCAACCGTTCCGGTCACTGGCTAAATCGCTACTGTCTGGCTTCTGCTAAAGATTCGTGCTTGTATTTGAATTCCCGAAACCGCGTCGCGTTTTAAGTTGCTCGAGCCGATCGCGCCTCCCTTTTAAGCGGTACGGACGGTATGTGTATGCAGACTAAGTTCGAAATTGCACGTTCACTGGTACTCGTCCACTTTCTGGACACCACTCGCATCATGCTCGATTTGACCCTTAACACTCGCAAGCGATAAGGATCGTACAGAACGGGACGCTCGCTTCGCACCGCCTCGCTCTCTTCGTATGCACAAACACCGTCGTGCACCTCGACTCGACATTTGCTCCAATGCTTATCGGGAACATGCCATGCCATTATAGCAAGCAAGCTCTGAATGAGTTCCAAAGTGCAACCGGATTATACCCACACACTTACGTGTGTTTAAATTAGGAACTCCAAGCAAGTGAATCACTTTGATGTCTGTCTCAGTTATTGTACAGGCAAATAATCGCCTGATTAACTATCGAATTATATGGCGCTAATTTAGAACAAGTGACGACAGAGCCGCAGAGTCCAAACTGCAGTTCAACAAAATAATTGTGGGGGCGTTCAGGTCGATGTCCCGAGTCCGAGTCTGGTCGTGCCAGACAGCGTTAAATGCAATTTAGCGGCTCGATGGCAAGCTATTGTCTGCCTGTGTCGGTTGCTAAGTAGCTCATTTCTGTAATCAGCCAGACACATTGTTTTATTAGCAAGGAGCTAGACAATGTAAGTAAACCTTTGGGCTGTAGACTTGGACAATGGGGACTGCCAAACTCTTCAATGAGGGGAGCAGCGGCAGCGGCCGCTCATAAACTGCATGAATAAACTGTTTCGGAGGCCACTACTCATCCACATCAGTGATCTTCCATTTAAAATTTACCTCTAACCACGTAGTAAAATTAACATTTCAAATGTAACTGTTAATATCCATCAATCGAATAATGTTATTTAAAACAATAGCCCAGTGCTGTAAGTTGCTCTGGGTCAACTGCGTTCAGTGTTGTAAAGCCAGGCTTGGTTTTGGTGTAATTTGTTTGTTGCGTGTTTGTTTTTGTGTAAAAATAAGTTTTTGTCCATTTATTCCATCCGTTCACATTTTAAAACTATGTTTAACTGTTAAGTGTAACCATTGTAGTCTCAATATGAATATTTATTTGAGGGTTATCTGCCTTTTGGGCTTCCTGAGCTCAGGTCAGTACGCGTGCTTCATTCCCAAGCCACACCCAAGCGCGCCCCGCCTGTGGGGAGCAAAGCCAGCAGCTTCAATGTGATTCATGTGATTTTTGCCTAATCTTGAAATGGTTGTTTATTTCCAGCGCTTGCACAATTTAATCAAAATCAAATTGAGCAACGGAACTGTATTATACCGAAGATACTGCAGGGATCTTGGTTTTCATGGGAGGTCGGCCTTCCCACACAGACGGTCATCGACGCCACCTCCATGTCGAGTCGTGGTTACTGCATCAACTACCAGCGCCATCGCGGTGATGAGTACTCATTTGTGTTCAAAGAACGCACAAAGGACTGCTATCACTGTGTCAACACGAAAATCCGTACGGTGAATGTCTTTGAAAAATATGAGGGTCCGTGCCTGAGCTTGCCCCCCGGCCAGAAGCCAACTGTGGAGAACATCTGCAGGGGCATTAAGGATGACCAGCAGCTGATAACGCTCTTCAACGAGAACTTTGTGCCCATCAATTGCCGCTCTTCGCTAGAGGGTGTGTGGCATTTTACATATCAAGTAGGTCTTCCATTTTCAGCCAAATTAATTAAGAACAATTAAGAGCTGACCATTTCTCTCTCTGTGCAGAATCGTTTCCGTTTCACGGGTGTGTGCGATCAGCCGGATGCACGTATACAGTCGTGCCAAACAGCTGGCACCCAGTTTCTGATACAGAATCAAAAGTTCAACATCACTTATCAGAAATGCGAGGGCATGGATGGCACATTCAGCGGCCCCGTTGAGTTCAGTTGCCTGGGCGATTGGTTTGTCGGAAAGAATCATTACTTTGCAGTGGCAAACACGAAGGAATCGCGCAAAGATGAGAAATATCGTTGCTTCCTCAAGAATCGAGACGATGATCTCTATGTTGGTGTCTCCATCACGGCCGAGTGCAATACACTGAAAACGCCAGAGACATCGCCCGAGCGCCTGAAGCTGACCCCCGTCAAAGCTGAGTTTGTGGAACCGGGCTGCACGCTGCCGCAAAACTTTAGCGGCGAGTGGGTGAACACGGCCAACATTGACGCCGATGTGTCCATCAGTGAGACGCACATAAATGAGACTTACTATCCCGACAAGGCGCGCTACCGCAAGACGATCTATGTGTGCCGCGAGCGGCGTGGCAACCGTGTGATGATGGCCCGCCTTACGGTCGATGGATGTCAAAAGGATTATGTGTGCTTCGATTTCATGCCCCGCCATCATAATATCATACGCTACCGCAGGGGCTTGGCCGTGATCAAGGATGACTTCAGTACGGTCTGCTCTTGGGTGCAGTTCCCCAATTCAGAGGCCTGGAAATACGACTTGTTCCTTGCCAGAAATCCAGTGCCCGTTCGCTGTCCGGTGGCTGGCAAATTTAACTTTACACAAAGAGGAGAACATCCCTTTAGGACGAGGCAAGTTCGAACTAATTTCTAGATGGTAAAAATGTTTAATTATAAATCTTTTGCAGGATCCTTGGTGGTGTCACGCTGAGTCCCCGTCCGGATATTCATTGCAAGCAGAATATCTCCGATTTGTCCGTCTGCGATACGGACCAGAAGGAATTGGCTGTCGATGAAAACTATTGCCTGTCTGTGGATCATTTGGGAAGGCCGGTGGACATTTACAGTGATCCGGATTATCGCATGAAGTGCATTGGCTTCTGGAAGGAGAATCTAAAGTCCTATCTTATTACCTACGACGACTTGGATCCGCTCTCCAAGTACCGCTGCTGGGTGTATCAGCGCGCCGACCTCAATCGTGTGCTAATGTCGCAGGCTGTGGGCGCCTTTTGTAAGCTGGAACAGGATGTGACCTCTTGGAACCATTCAGAGGGTGCTGCGGTGGCCATCGATGCTGTTGAATACGAGCGTGAACGCGACGACTGCCCCATGTACTTTGACGATGGCTTGAATCCATGGCGACCATCCGATGCCTCAAACATAATTTTCGACTGGGATTTCTACAGAGCCGGAGCGTCGGCCATAAATGGCAAGCTAGCCACGGCAATTGCTATGGCTTGTATGCTTTGCAAATATTTAGTCGCTCACTGAGTTCAAAGTATTCTTAATTCTACCAACGAAGGAATTACGTTCCGTCCATTCAATTTTCATTCCAGTCTCGTTTTTAATACGTAGAAAATGTCGGTGTGCCTTTCAATGCAAGTATCTGCCTTTTTAGACGAAATTTGTAAGCTAGTTTGTAAGTAAACGAAAACCCCATATCAAGTTTTTAATTAGTGTGCGCAATTCCGTCCTCGAATGAATCTCAAATGTTTTTAATAAAATGTGTGAAACAATGTCTAGTTTGTATTTCGATAACTGTACGGAGCGATAGATTCGAAACCAAGCAGCTCTGCTTTTAGTGTTGTACAATTTCAAAAAAAGTTGGACGTATTGCCGAACAAACCGAGTGAATTTTTGTGAATTGTAAAAAGTTCGTAATTCCTACCACAAGTATCATGTCGCTATCCTTGGTCCTGCGTGGCGCCGTCCGCTGTAATGGTAAGCATTAAATGAATTGCCAGATTCCGCGAGTCCTGGCAGGAAACAGTTTTTATTATATAACCAAACTGTTTGTTGGTATCGTATCCCCCCAATTAGCCGCAAATCTCGTTAAGTCAGCGCGCATCACACCACTGAAGGCCTACTCCACAATTGTGGCCAATGCCCAACGTCAGACTCTCAAGCCTCTGGCGCTGACCAAGGTAGTTGCGGTGAGTAGAAACAGCCGACCAAACCAGAATTATGTAGGATGATAATCCCTACCCTGCCTGCCGTTTTTTCAGCCCGTAGTACGTGAGATCTGTGTGAGTGCACCACGCATGGCTTCGGCTGGGTCCAGCCACACCGCACTGTGGACACTGGAACGCCTAGTGTCGGCTGGTCTGCTGGCCATCATCCCAGCTGCCTTCATTGCTCCATCCCAGATACTGGATGCACTGCTTGCCATTTCAGTTGTCATTCACGCTCATTGGTAAGAACCCGTCTGTTGCTACAGAGGCAAAAACGATTCACTCACCTATAATTCATTGTACAGGGGCGTTGAGGCCATGGTTGTCGACTACATGCGTCCAGCTGTGGTGGGAAATATTCTGCCAAAGGTGGCACACATTGCGCTCATCGTCATCTCGGTGGCCACTCTGGGAGGTCTCTTCTACTATATCCAAAACGATGTGGGTCTAACCAACGGCATTAAGCGTTTCTGGGCCATCAAGGGCAAGGATGCTGAGGAGAAGCAGCAGTCTTAAGTCCGAAGTATTCAGTAAAGTTTATAAACTGCAACACGCAAAAGCCACACCCGTTATTTATTGATAGTTTTTGAGTGTTCTCAAATCCCCGGCTCGGCGAACATATAGGCACTAAATAAATAATTGTATAAAGAGAATGGAATGGGCGCACATGTTTTTACAAAAATGTATTTCAACAACTGCACCTAAACAATTAGTTGGGTAACATTAAGTGGGAACAGACTGTTCCAGTTACGTATGCTAATCTATCCAATAAACATTTTGTGCTATTGTGTACAGGTCCTTAGGTCATGACTGTGTCACCACATTATTTGTGTAGAATAATCTGAGCGCGTCCCATTGTTTGGTGTGCAGCAAAATATGCGGACGGCAGCTTCGCATGTGATCCACAGCTTCATCTGGGGTCCAGCCGTTTTTCTGCAAAACAATAGATTCCATTACCAATTCCATTGCTTGAAAACTGAACCTTTAACCCACCATCATCAGATAGCAGCCGACCAAGGTGGCACTGCGCGTTCTTCCTGCCTTGCAGTGTACATAGACAGAGCCAACATTCTCTGGCGTCTGCGTGGAGCCTAAGCCGCTGATGCGCTTCGACAGGGGCAGGAACTGATTGATGAACTCCACGCCACGGAAGAGCTTCTCCTGGTTGGGCGACTCGAAGATGTCGGTGGTGGCCAGCTGTAGGAACTCAACGCCCAGTTTCCGCCACTTCTCCGTATTGTTGGAGAAGGCCATCAGCTCATAGTCCTCGTTCATGGACACCACAGCCTTCATGTTCTCCTTCTCAATCAACTGTTGATCAATCCAAGCTTTAGATTAAGCTGTGGCGGGGCTTAATTCACATTTACTTACGTCATTGGCTTGATTCCGAAAGGGGAGTGCTCCGAGTATGACGGTGTCATCTATGCGGTCGTACCAATTCCTGGCGGAAGCCTTTTCCATCAGGACATTGTAGAGCAGGGTGGGGTAGAAGGATACACGGGCAAACATGGCAGCCTTAAATAATAAATGGAATGGTTATTCCGTTTTCGGGCCGCGTGGGGAGAGTGGATCTCGCGCAACAGCTGTAAACTTTCACCAGCCAGTCGGAAGGGGGGCAGATGAGCATGAACACAGAATGTGGTCGGTTGTCTTGTCTGTCTTGCTTGAGGCGCGCTTTGGAACTGGTTTCGGTGTGCGATGAGCCAGCGGCTTTTGAAGCTGTCCAATCGTGTCTGGCACTAATCTCGTACTACTTACACTCATCTCCATGCCGGTTACTCAGCTGCTGGTCGGTCGAGGCAATAGTGTGATTCACGTGTATACAATGTCTTCCTCGCCTTCTAATTAGTATACACTCTACACCCAAATTATCACCCCAATATCGTCTGAGATCTTAAATGTACGTCCGGTCTACCTGCGTGCCCCGCACCATTTGCATAACTTATGTTTTCCCCACGCGACTGTGCAACACTGCCAAAACACTGTCTGCTGTCGGCTCGCAACACTAGACACTAAATATATTGCAACAAAAAAAATTTAAAGAATCTTACGTGTGAAAAATTAGTAAAAGGTGGCCTAGGTATATCTATTACTGATCATACGTGGTTGAAAATGCGAGAGCGATAATAAGCACAATCGAACAGTGAATAAGCCGTAAATCTGCTGGGCTCCCAGCCGCTCCCATCCCGCGAGAAGAAGAAGTAAATAACGTCAACACGTCAGAAGTAAAGAGACCTAAAGAGAGGCAAAGAAAAGCCAAAAATCAAACTTTATGTTGCTTTCCAATTGATGTTGATATTTTCCAATTTGCCACAGAGACCGCAGCACCATGAATCTAACCAAATGGATGTGCCTCCTAATGCTCCTCCTGGCGAAGCGCGGCCAGCTGTTGCGAGCCGAGCTGCAGGGCCCCACAGCCACAACCGAAACCCCCACAGCAGCCCACACCAGCTTACCAGCAAGTGAGCCATCTAGTCAGGCCGACACTGAAGAGGTAACCACAGCCGAGACAGAATCCCGGGCGCCGGCCCTCAGCAATGAACGGAAGGCGTCCAAGCCAAAGGATTCCACAGATTTTGGGACACGGGTGATGCCAGCTGCTCTATTCGAACGCCTCTGGAACGACAGTCTGATGAAGCAGCAGAAGCTAAAGGCTGAGATCGAGAAAATCGAAGCCATGCGACAGGGCACTGCCGAGCCCCCCGTCGTCGAGCTAACTCCGGAGCAGCTGGAAGGTGAGTTTCGTTGCCCACCACCGGTCATGCCAACTAACAAGAGGTTCATCTCCTGTTTAGCCCAACTGATGTACAACAATGCCATGGACATGCTCGCCAAGCCGCGCACGGACAAACGGGTGGTCTTCACCTTGCTCAAGAAGGCGGCGGGATTCAATCATCAGGAAGCCCGAGCTGCACTCGCCTGGGCCGTGCTCATGGGCCACTGGATGGAGTTTGATTTCCATCATGCTGCCGACGAGTTTGAGAGCTTGGCCAACGAGGGTCTGCCCTCGGCCCACATGGGACTGGCATTCATGTATTCGGCCGGGGTTGGTGGCAAAAATGTGAGCCAGCCGCTGGCCCTGATCCACTACACTCTGGCCGCCCTGGGCGACGACACTCTGGCACAAATGGCACTGGGCTATCGCTACCTGTACGGCATCAATGTGCCCATCAGCTGCGAGAAGGCACTGATCCAGTACAAGCGCGTGGCCAAAAAGGTGGCCTCAAAGGTAACCTTCGCCAATGGTCCGGTTGTGCATCGTGTGCGGCTGCTGGATGAGCTGGAGAATCCCGGCAGCCACGAGACCGAGATTGTCGACTACTACCAACTGCTGGCCGACAAGGGTGATGTGCAGTCGCAGGTGGGACTGGGGCAGCTGTACTATCAGGGAGGCAAGGCCATACAGCAGGATCATCAGAAGGCGCTGGAATACTTCACCCTCGCGGCCAATGCGGGCAATGCCATTGGTTTTGCATTTCTGGGCAAACTCTATCTGGAGGGCAGTGAGCAGATCAAGGCAGACAATGAAACAGCCTTTAAGGTGAGTGAAGATTTGATTCGATTGATTTCCCCTGCTAATTGTTATTTTTTTGTCTTTCCATCAATCAGTACTTCTCCAAGGCCTCGGAAATGGGTGACCCTGTGGGTCAGAGCGGCTTGGGTGTCATGTACCTGAAGGGCCTGGGTGTGCCCAAGGATCCAGTCAAGGCTTTGTCCTACTTCACACAGGCAGCCGACCAAGGATGGGTGGATGGCCAGCTGCAGCTGGGTACCATGTATTTCAGTAGGTGCTTAAATTTCTATCAAAGTTTTGGGTACATTCTCTTTTTATTTTGCAGCTGGAAATGGCGTCAAGACTGACTACAAGCTGGCCCTGAAGTACTTCAATTTGGCCACTCAATCGGGCCATGTGTTGGCCTACTACAATCTTGGGGTTATGCATGCCTATGGCATGGGTATGCTGCGCTCCTGCCCAGCGGCAGTGGAGTTCTTCAAGTCTGTGGCGGAGCGCGGACGTTGGAGCAACAGACTGATGCATGCGTATGGCGACTACAAGCGGAATCGCATCGATCAGGCTTACATGCAGTACTCCCTGATGGGCGAGGTTGGCTACGAGGTGGCCCAGAGCAATGCCGCCTTCCTGCTGGACCGCGAGGAGGTGCATGTGTTCAATGACCGGCACGAGGAATTGATACGAGCCTTTTATTACTGGAAGCGGGCTGCTGGCCAGGGCTATTCGGCTGCCCAAGTCAAGCTGGGCGACTACTACTATTATGGGTGGGGCACGTCGAAGGATTTCGAGACAGCTGCGGCTCTATACAGGTTTGTTCTGTTTGTTTGGTGGTTCCAACTTGCAAACTAATACTCTAATCTTTGTAGGAAAGCATCGGAGCAGCAGTACAATGCTCAGGCCATGTTTAATTTGGGCTACATGCATGAGCAGGGACTGGGCATGAAGAAGGACAGGCATCT